CCGCCATTGCTGTGAATTAAACGAAACCGCTGGCTAAATCCCGTAATTTTCGCGGCTGAAACTCGCCAGCTAACTTCAATTGAACATTGAACTGACAAAAGTAACAAATCTTCATGAAAATAACCAACTTTTGATTGGGTATTTTTTATTATTATAATTATCATGTGAGCTTATTGTAGAACGGACCAAAATAGCAGCATACTACTAATCTCTACTTTTTAATCAAACCAGTGCGTCTCGCCAATTTTGAAATAGTAGATAATAATTCAGAAACACAATTAGTAACTGATCACTAATCACAGTGATTGCTGATGGTGGGGTTTTCCTGTGCGTAGCACGGGTTTCCTGCTAGTTAGTTATAAAATATCCTATCTAAATACCCTATGTAGTGTCCTTTTTTTCAACTATATATACCCTACTTTATAGCTTTCTCGATAGCTATAAAATAGGTATCTGAATAGCTATTTAATAGGTATATGGACACCTATTGAAAAGGTATTTAAAAGGTATTTTACTTTTGAAAAAGAACCAAAATTGAGACCTTGAAAACCATAAGGTGGTAAGTGCATTGATACGTTGCCAAGATTGTGCAACTGTATACGATAAATGCAGCAAATCAAAACCATGTAGAGGTGAAACTCTTTTAGCAAAAATTCCCTGGGCTATGCTGATTTTTTTTTTGCATTAAGGTTTGCAATTCTATATGATTTTGGTTTGCAAAAAATAAAGTTGCTCTATCATAGCAACGTTGCAATGTACTTATCATCTTATGGTTCTTAAGGCTGCAACTAACAATAGTGCGAAAATTCATTAACATGTTTAAGAAAATATACAATAAAAAAAAACCTAGTACATAGCTATAAAATACATATTTTCAAACATAAATTTTAAACCAAGATAAATGCGCATGGAATAGCTACAAAATAGCTATAAAATATGCCATCTGTACGATACCATATAAAATAAGAAAATAAATAGCTATAAAATAGCCTATCTGGCCGATACCTATTCGATAATCCTATTTTGGCTATTAGGGAGATCATTAAAATGCAGCTCTTGTTTATATCGGGAGTTGGCACTACAAGTATTGATTCCTTTGTAAAACTTCGCGTGAGATAGGATGGTTTCACTGGTTTTCTCTGAAACAAACCCTAAAACTAAAAAAAAACTCTTAAAGTTAAGGCCGTATTGAAGAAGATATCCCCGCTTTCCTGAGAGTCCACCTTCGTAATAAGCCAAATTTTCTATGCTAAGATATAAGGAGCAAATTGACGGCGTAAGTTTGCAATCACATATCTCAATTGCGGTGTCTGATTATCTCCGTTTCTATGTTATTTTTTAAGGAGAACAAACTGACACCATTCTTTGAAGTTTATGCAGACTTTTCTTCTCACATGGAAGAAAAAGCATGGCAGTTTTAAAGCATTGCCGTTGAGTAGTTTTCCGTTTGAAAAATAAAGTATGACAGGAAGTCTGCGACTTTGCAAACCGAGTCGTGTGACTGCCGACTCACACCGTCGAAATGAATCCGCAAGATTGCGGTCAAAACTGAAAACACATGTTTTTAACTTTGGAAACCCCAAACAAAGTGGCTACCCTTTCAATGTATATTATTCGCTCTCAGCATGGAGAGTTTGGCTTGATACAGAGGTAGGATAGCGTGGAATATCCCCTCTATTACGGCATCAACTTTCACAGCTTTTTTCAGTTTTGGAAATGGTCTTGGAGGAAATTGATAAAACCATCGTGTTTCCCGCGGAATTGTGCGTAATAATCAGTACTTAAATCACTAACTCCTAACACAAGCAAGATCTCCATTCTGATCTCCTGTTGTGTGTGGACATCACAATTAATTTTGCGCTCAGCATGATCATTAACAACTTTTATGACTTAACTCCTTTTTTTACCTCAAGATATTCGGAAGTAAATAGCCATTGGGCTGGGCAAGAGTCTAGAAATGAAAATGGCAAATCCATGATATTGAAAAAAAGGCTAGAATGTTGGTTGGGGAGAAGCCTGGACTTATCGGGCATTTTTCAGCGTAGGTACACATTGAGGAGGCACACTTCATAGACCTCAAGAAGTTTCGCAGCTTTAACGAGAGTACCTACAGCAGCTAGTGTTGTGCTCCGTAATTTATCCAGCCACGTATGGTACCTCTGTAGTAAAAATTTGATTCCCTTGGCATTATTTGATGAGAGACTTCCCGCCCGGCACGGTGAGCGGTGGCAACGTTACCGGCAATATTTTCACGGCAACGTTGCCAGATTACGTTGTAATAATATTTGTAAAATATTGCAAAGCAATATTGCAACTAAAATATTTTTGCAATATTGTTTAAAACGTTGACTAAACATTGCCGGATAATATTTGCAGCAATGTTAATTAAAAATATTGTGAAAACACTGTTTGGCAATGTTTTCGGTAATATGGCAACATTACATTATTATTATTTTTTGGCATTTGTAATATAAGTACTTTAGTTTTTAATTCATACCTTCAACTTTGTTACTTAATAATATATGTTGTTGTGGGTACCTCCCCTTGTCGCTCGAATTCATGTCATTCTTAGCGTGTCATATAGTAGTAGAGAGCTATTTTTTCACAACTTGTTAATTATTTGCCTTAATATCCATTACAAGGTCTTCATTATTTTCTCTTCTCAATGGCGTCTTTTATGTTATTTTACATAAATTATTAACTTTCTCCTGAACAAATGACTATGTGTCAATTTACAATGAGAAGTAGAGTAATTGTTGAAAACCATCAGTTTTAGCCTCCAAAAATAATTATTTATAAACGTTATTTATTAAATTACAGCTAAGTGGTAAAAAATGAACAACTTGGAACCAAGCCGCTTCATAATAAATCCACTTACACAACAAATACTGTCTTATAATGTACTAAAGACAAACCTAATAATATTTTGAGTAGGTAATATTGCTGAAATACATTAGTGAGACGTAGGTATATGCTTCAAGGAACTTAAATAGAACTGAGGCAATTGAAAGGCTCTATAATGAGGTCTTCGAGTGAGCAATGTTTGTCGGCCTACTATGGTGTAGTGGTTGTAGCGCTTGCTCTATGATCGGGCGGTCCCGGGTTCGGTTCCCAGCCAGGCCACCCGAGTTTGATGGTCGCAAACAATGGTTGCCTGGGACTGGTTCAGTAGGGACGGAGGGGGGATGGGACTTAACGCGTGGGATTAGCCCTTGTGGGCAATTTGAAGTAGTAAAAAAAAAAAAAATGTTGCGGCAACATTTTGTTTTCTTTTTGCCAGCAACATTGCCGAGCAATGTTGAGGCGATATTTCCGACAATATTGTTAGGGGAGCAAAAATAATATTGTGTCAACGTTATGGCAACGTTGCACAACAACGTTGCCGCTATCTGCGGCGATATTGTGGCAACGTTGACACAATACCGCTTTGCCGGGCGGGTTACATCGAACACTAAGAGAGTCTTTGTTCACAACATGAGACACAATGTAGGGTTGCCGAATCCACCTGTCCGGCAGAGCGTACAATTTAACTAATGTCTAATGTATTATTTGAAGAAAATTATTTTAATGATCTCTTACAAGTCACAGCCAAAGTCACTAAAACCATTTAAAAATAATAAAAATAGTCTGTCAACCATTTTAAGACTCTAGGCCTTTAAGTAAACTGTGGATTATTTGACTTGGTTTATTAACTTTGAACTGTTTAAATTGTTGAAATTGATTTTCCTACATATAGCCAATATTTTACAAAGAAAATTTGTCTTTTTGATGTATTTATACATTTCAACTGTTTTTTAATGTTAAAGTGTATCCAGGTCAATTCGTAATGATACATTGCAACGGACGGGAACTTTCGGGCCCGCGTAAGCTTAGTGCGTGCGTGCAGCATGTCGCTTAAGCAGTGCAGAGGATGCGCGCGCGTTGCGCTACGGCGCGGCGCGCCCATTTTGCTCCTAGTCTCTCGTTGCGCGCGCCTTTCTCGAGTGTTTTGCGGCTTTTCCGTTGCAGATACGACCAAACGGACGAAATTTTCGCCCTCAAGACCCGTAACTCGGCGTTTGCCATGGGAAAACAGTGTTATTTTATCTAAAAATCTCAAATTTCAACTTGTGTCACTTAAGTCGTTCAAGCACCGGGTAAAAATCGTTTCAAATTTTTTCCCTGTACGAGGCTTCTAATGTATCCACACATCAACTTTAAAGACCAGGACCTCCTTCGAATTCGAAAATTCAAAAAATAAGAAACACCCTAAAGCTAGTACCATTAAAAGGAGTAAAGGAACATTCTGATTTGATCTCCCGGGGCACAGAAACGGCCCGTTCAATACTGCCACAGGCAGGGGGCCATGACGGGGGTACCCCCCTGGGGGAGGCCTTACGGTAAAAAAAGTGCGGCTTTTTCGACGGTACATTTCGGTACAAAACTCCTAGTGTACATCCTGAGGGTTTTCGAGTACGTAAGTCCATTTTTTCGAATATATTTCTCTAGCCCCCCCACTTTTGACACCCCCGTAGCTCCCCTATCGTAAGGGTACAAAACTTTTTTCGTACGGTACATTTCGGTACAAAACTAGTACAACACTTTGGCGATAAGAAAGAGTAGAATTTTAAAGGTGGGGGGGCTTAATTCCTCCGGCCCCCCCTCCTGCGTTTTAATTGTACGTACTTTACATGATGGGTGCAAAACTTTTTCTTTACGATACATTTGGGTACAAAACTAGTACAAAACTTTGTTGATCTTGAATTTTAATTTTGGAAAGGTGGGGGTTCTGGAGAAATGGACCTCATGGAGCAACACACAGTGCCATGGTTCCACAGCATGGCATCTACCCACAAAAATTTTTGTCACGGTGGGTCAATAATCAAAAAATTTGGAAAGCGGTGAGACACCCTTTGTATTTCACCAATTTACTTGTAAAATCTTCTAAAATAATAAAAAATTTTCCCTTTATCTTCGGCCTAAACAATAACTTAATGACAAGATCCTTCTGGCATTCTTACCTTGCAAATTTGCTTCTCTATTCACAAAACCCATTGCTGTCAACTGCTCTAATTGAGACCGGTACCTTTCTTCTGGAGGTTGTGTAGAGTTAGTATTAGCACCTTGTTCTGACAAACTAGCCACCTGCATTTCAAAAGAAGATTCATAATTGTAAGCATTCAAATCGACGGTGGTGTAATTAAAGTTCTGAGGAAAAAACAAGCAGACAGCTGGGCAGCAAGCAGGCACCTAATAGGGTACCCATTCAATGTTGCATTGAATATTTAATGCATCAAATATATTCTCTGAGCAGGAACGTACTTCTCTCTTACAGGGTTGCCAGCCGAATTATTTTTTTCCATTCCCTGACTTTTCCCTGACTTTCCAATATTTTTCCCTGACTTTTAAGTGTGGATCTGACGCAGTCTGTTAAAGTGAAAATGAGAGCTATTTTCGACTATTTAAATTTTTAGCAGTTAGTTAACATACACATTTGCAACGCAAGGGCTAGGTACAGAAAACTGCTTGGTTAGGGTGTATTTCAAAAAATATTTTTGGCGATTAAGATTGGACCTTGAGGTTTCAGAAGATGTTTTCCAATTATCACGAGCAGCGATGAAGGATTAAGGTTCAGGAAGGACACTTTTCAGGATCAGTGATTCAGAATTTCCTTTGGCATTCCATCCCTTTCAAGGCAAAGAAATGCTAGTGGCATGAAGACAATTTTACTGAATGTGCTTTATAATTTAATAATATTGTTAACAAAAATTTTAAGTAAAATGACTAAGTGACTTTCTTACAAAACAATAAATTGTTGTAAGAGATCCTGAAAAACTGCAATGGAGAGGTGCCCTTTTTGCACACAAGTTTTGGTGTTATGTTATCACACATTATTTTTTTACAACAAAATTTTTTAATAATAACTACTTCCGTGCCACCATTTTGATTCATTAATTCTAAACTGGCTTCCAATGACGAGGCGATGCTGATGGCAAACTCGTTGTGAGCTTCTAGGTTATGTGAACAAACGTAAGCACACGCGCACACACACACCCTCACACGCGCGCACAGGTCCGACGCGACGCGATGGTCGGAATGTCGGAATGCCGGTAGTTCCTCGCGAAGCCGAGCGAGAGCGCCACCATCCTCCGCAATCGAACGCAGTAGTCAGTTGATCCCGCAACGCGAGCTCGAGACCGCCCGCGCCTAATTCCACGAAAAATCAGAAAAATCCCTGACCAACACCGAAATTCCCTGACTTTCCCTGACTTTTCCCGGTTGATTTTTTTTCCCTGACTTTTCCCGGTCGCTGGCAACCCTGCTCTTACCAATTTTTGTTCAATTGTTACAAATGACATTCAGGCAATGTTCTTTTCCAACTAGGTAAACATTTATAGGTTTTCAAGTAAGAATAAAAGAATCAACGTATGCAAAAACGTTCAATGCCAATTTTTCTGGGAATTTGACTTTTAAGGCTCAACGTCATCTTCGAGGGAACGGGCATCGACGGATCGATAGACGGATCGGACCTGTTTTAGGGGTCTTTCGGCCCCATCTAGGGGGCCAAACCACAAAAAAATATGCGAGAACGTCCGATATCCATTTATAGTCCAGTCAATAGGGATTTTCATGTGGTATTGAGAGCAGAATTTTTCCCTCCCCTGATTTCTCATCAATAGAGGGTCTTATACGAAATCCCAAATTTTTCTTCTCGACAGGTGGGAAACCCTTCAAAAACCCTCCCCAAAATCGAAATAACGGTTTAAAATCGGTTATTTTCTCTCGTTTTTCGGCGACTTTCGCAAAAACAGTTGTTTATATGACTAGGTATGTGGATCTTACTTGAAAGCAGATGAAAGACTTTGTCCCATTTTCCATAGGAAATGGCTGCAAGAGCTTTTCCATCCATACTTTCAGGAATCATAACGTATCATCAGAGAGGCCTGAATCCGGTGTCATTTCTCGTCTAGCCCCGCAGGTGGAGGGGGGGGGAAGGGGGTCAAAGGTCAAACGCTCCAACCGCCATAACTTTTGAACGAATCGTCGGATCAACTTGATCTTGGGCTCAAATGAAAGCTCTTGACGAGACGTTTCATTTGATATTTGATGTGTAGTAGTGTCTATTTTTGGTAATTTTCCAACGTAAAAAATATCATTTTTTGATTTTTCAAGCCCAAAAAATTCAGTTTTTCGGAGTTTTCTCTAAATGGGAACGCATGAATCATCACAAAAACCAATTTAAATGAAAGCCCTTGATTCAAGCTTTAAAACGAGCTATCGTTGAACTTGGGGAAATGAATGGTTCAAAAGTTATGACCGTTCAAAGTTGGCGTGGCGCTCTATTTTCGAAGCGCGCGGAGTGTATACTCGCGTGTCACCCCTCCCTACCTTTCCCCCTGGGGCCCGCTTCAGTTGATAACGGATACAGGAAGGTCCAAAGCTCCTTCCATCTAAAGAATGACCAGTCATTAGTGTTAAATTACTTTTATTTCTAACGAAAAAAGGGAAATAAAAATAAATTAAATGCTAATAAACAATAATACGCTGGCATACATAATTTTTTTGCCCCCCCCCCTCCATGATTTAATATTTAAAAGCCAAATCAAGCTTCTTTTACCACAAAATACACTCAAAAGCTGTAGATAATATTCATAGGCTCTAGTGCGCAACAAGCCGACCAGCACTTGAAACTCACATTTACATTTACATATACTCACATTTTATCTCTCCGATCTATTTCCCTCTCAACAAGATCTACCTGCAAGGGAATAACCAGATACCGTAGTGATCAGAGGCTTGATTTGGCAACATCAAATATTAAATCATGGAGGGGGGGGGCAAAAAAATAATGTATGCCAGCGTATTATCGTTTATTAGCGTTTAATTTATTTTTATTTCCCTTTTTTCGTTAGAAATAAAAGTAATTTAACACTAATGACTGGTCATTCTTTAGATGGAAGGAGCTTTGGACCTTCCTGTATCCGTTATCAACTGAAGCGGGCCCCAGGGGGAAAGGTAGGGAGGGGTGACACGCGAGTATACACTCCGCGCGCTTCGAAAATAGAGCGCCACGCCAACTTTGAACGGTCATAACTTTTGAACCATTCATTTCCCCAAGTTCAACGATAGCTCGTTTTAAAGCTTGAATCAAGGGCTTTCATTTAAATTGGTTTTTGTGATGATTCATGCGTTCCCATTTAGAGAAAACTCCGAAAAACTGAATTTTTTGGGCTTGAAAAATCAAAAAATGATATTTTTTGCGTTGAAAAATTACCAAAAATAGACACTACTACACATCAAATATCAAATGAAACGTCTCGTCAAGAGCTTTCATTTGAGCCCAAGATCAAGTTGATCCGACGATTCGTTCAAAAGTTATGGCGGTTGGAGCGTTTGACCTTTGACCCCCTGTCCCCCCTCCACCTGCGGGGCTAGACGAGAAATGACACCGGATTTAGGCCTCTCCGATGATACGTTATGATTCCTGAAAGTATGGATGGAAAAGCTCTTGCAGCCACTTCCTATGGAAAATGGGACAACCTCTTTTGGTCACACCAATATTAAACAGATGATAAGATATATGTGATACATAAAAAATTTAAACTTACTTGGAAAAGTAATTTTTATAAGCCAAACGATTACCATAATGAAAACAACAGAAAAGGGAACCGCACAATCTGAAATTTTTCTGATGAAAATTGCGCTTACTACTGGATTCGCAAAGAAAACCCAAAATTTTCAAAATTTCGTTTTTACATGGTTTTTTGTTTCCAACTGTTTTTCAACAATTCTTGAAGGTAAGTATGCCCTTCCAAATGAAAGTAGATTTCAAATACTACAATTTCGTGTATCAAGCTTGTCTTTAGAACGTAACAAGACAGCACCCCAGCATTGCCAAAGTTACAGTCTCAAAAGGCATTTTCAAGGCCGTGCAGTTCATGCAACAAAACTGAGGCCATCCAAGCACTAGAATGAGCAAACACCTTGGTCACCTTGGGTAGAAGACTTCACAATTACGGACTTCTGCCAATCACACCATTAAAATATCCTGCCCCAGACGCAATTTTAAAAGTTTCGAT